CACCACATCCAAAATCATATGAATATATAAGTGGAATCTGACTTCAGAATTGTGTTGTTTTTCTGCAAAAGTTTATTTCTCTCCTATATTTAGCCCTGAAGTATTAAACACTAGAGGATAACTTTCTACTTTTTTAAAACATACAAACATTTTCCACAATACTTTTGGAACTTTAAAACAATTGGCTTTAAAAGTAATGCAGCGAAACACTGTAGTTATTCTTTACGGGACAACATCTTTTTGAATAAACCATACATTATCTTAGCATTTTTCCCATGAATATCCTCAGTTATCTCTTCTTGAATGACATATTTAATTTCATTTGTATTTGTTCCGCTCATGGTACGAAAAACCTAATGTACAATAATTGCCAACAAAACATGTCTCTACAATAAGGTGACCAGATTTTCTAAATGAAAGCCAATTCTGGTTTAATGTAATTCGAACATTTGAACTGTTGGATACAAACAGAAGGACGATAGCTCATATATGAGACTTCAAAGGTATTTTATTTTGAAGCTGTACATCAGATTGTCCTGATTCTCTCTGAGTGACTAGATGGGGTGTTCTGCTATCACCCTGGAGTGAAATAAGTCTTTGATAATTTGACAGTTTTTTATTTATTCTTGTATAAAAACAGAAGGACGATAGCCCATATATGAGATTTCAAAAGTATTTTATTTTGAAATTCTACATCAGATTGTCCTGATTTTCTCTGAATGACTAGATGGGGTCTCCAGCTATCACCCTGAAGTGAAATAAGTATTTGATTGACTTCGAATGAATCTTTGATTAAATAATAATCAAAATATAGATGGACAATAGATTTAATTTGAGATTTAGATCTTCAGAAAGTCATGTTATTTTAAGAGTGTTGTGAGAGTTGTTTCAACATCAATTGAAATTAGTCACCCAGTGGAAATGTCAGATATGTCTTCATAACTGTATCCTGACATTTTACATTCACTCAGTTATAATGTGTGTAGTATATAATAGTAGTTAAAAGGTCTATCGAGAGATAGGCTGGCAGAATTGACATGACAACCCACCCGTGCAGTCAGAACCTTTTGCTGCTGTGACTTGTGATATGAATTCTCCGGCCGTATCCTTGTAATAAACATCATTGTTTGACATCAAAGCTCCAACTCTCCTCGTGTCTCTCTGAGTCCTGACTCTCCATTGCTGCAGAAGTTCCCCTTACATGCTGCACAGTGTTACAACTTCTATGTTTGTTCGAAACCCAAACACCACAAGCACTACAAGAAAGTAAGCCTGAAGTAATTGAAGTTAAAAATACTTCACCTCACTTACTGAACATCATTGAGTCCAAGCTGCAGGGGCTGTAATAAAATAGATGAGCCGGCCGCTGCACTCTGCGTGTGTAAATTGGACATTTGTGCATTTTATTAGCGGGTTTTATGAACAGAAATCCAAGTGTATCGAGACCAAATGAATGAACCCAGACACCTGCAGACATGTTTCCACTCGTGATTTGTCTCAAGCGCCTGCACGACTAATTGCATTGCACAAAACTGCACGATAATTTATTGCACCAAATGATGTGGCACTAAGAAATGATGTAGAAGTCACGCAGGGAGGAAGAAGCAGTCATGGCAGCTGCTCCGTATAAAGAGAGAGATTAAAGGCTTCAGGTGAACCACCATGTCATTTTATTTGCTGTTTTATCTTTGGGGTGTTTGAATCTAAGTTTCAGAGCTTTAGATTTAAGGCTTCGGAACTATTTTTTGGGATAAGAAATGGATGTTTCTTGCTGCTTACTTTGTGGTTGATTGACAATGATTGGGGAAGATTGTCAGAGCACCGAACTTCACTGATTGAGAATACATTTTAAAGTTTCAAAGGCTTTATTTGTCATATAAACAATAACTAAAGTTGTGTCAGTCTTAAGTCTCAAGCTCCTCCAACAATGCAACATACAGAAGTAGAAAACCATTGCCCAGTCTGCTCAGTTGGGATTGGTCGACCGCTTAGAGATGTCCCGCCCCTTAGCCTATCAAGTACAACGTGATGGAGCGCTAACCAATAGTAGCGCAAGTTTTACATAGTGATGTCACGGTTCTGGAAGTAAATACAAGGAGTCCAATGGAGGTGTTTCAGGCAGGGACATGGATTTTAGCCTTTGCAGACCATTAACATCCACTAAAACCTATATAAAACACTACAGGAAAACAAAAAGCATATTTGCACCCCTTTAACAAAAAATAAAAGACATCAAATTGTGAAATAGTGATTGAATATGATTCAAGTAGGTTTCATGAATAAAACAACAAATTACACATTAAATAGAATAATACAGCATAGCATGTTGTATAGTAAAGGTCCATCTTATCTTATCTTAAAATAGCATGTTTTATGAGCTCCAGCTAGAGTTGGAAACATTTTGTGGAAAATCTTTCTCCGTCTTTCTTCGAGTACAAGGCCACTGCTTCGCTGAATATCTCGTCACTTTGTTCAAGTCTCTCGTGACCTTTGCTTGCAACAGAAAAGATCAATTATGGTCTTTTAAAAGCGTAGAAAGCACCGGGCACAAGCGCCTGTCTAAAGACTGGCATTACCGGAGGAGCCCGGCTTTTAAATCCTTCTGGTGCTTCATGTGGTGACACTTCTAAACGTCACTCTGAAAGTGTGCGGCGGCCGCCTCAGATTGTCCCTCGTTGTCTGTTTGCTGATGGATTCCATCTCGAGTGTTGTTTTTTCCCTATGATAGACGGAGAGGCTTTGACATGTGGATGGACTGGAACAAACAACAGCACCGAGCACTCTAAACTAAAATTGGCTTGTCAAGGGCTTTATGATATTCAGAGAAACAATAAAGTGGCTGTCTCTTCTCTGTCATGTGAAGGAACAACAGGTGGGAAGTAGGGGAGTACAAATACTTCGTTAATAATAATAATGATAATAATAGATTAAATTTGTTAGCGCTTGTACAGGTGCTCAAAGATAATTTACAGATATACTGAAAAGAAAAGAAAAGAACAACAAATAAATATGTATAGTTAAAGTCAAATTAAAATTAAGCAATACAAAAAACAATCACACATTAAAAGCCAGATTGAAGAGGTGAGTTTTTGTGAGTGTGTTGAAGGTGGTGAGGTCAGTGCAGTCTCTGATGGGTTGTGGGAGTGAGTTCCAGAGGGAGGGGGCAGCGACGGAGAAGGCTCTGTCCCCCCAGGTCCGGTGGTTGATGCGGGTGGGGATGGATAGGAGGTTGGCTTCTGATGAGCGGAGGCAGCGGAAAGGGGTGTGGTGGTGCAGCAGGTCTGTGAGGTGGGGGGGCCTGGTTGTTGAGGGCTTTGTGAGTAATCAGGAGGACTTTGAAGTTGATTACTGTACAATCCATTACTGTACTGTCGTTACTGTACTTAAGTACATTTTTCTGGTATCAGTACTTTACTCCGCTACTTATTTTTCTGACGACTTTTTACTTTGAATTCTTACATGTTGAACACAAATACCTGTACTTTCTACTTCTTACGTTGAACTCAAATACCTGTACTTTCTACTTCTTACATGATGAACACAAATACCTGTACTTTCTACTTCTTACGTTGAACTCAAATACCTGTACTTTCTACTTCTTACATGTTGAACTCAAATACCTGTACTTTCTACTTCTTACGTTGAACTCAAATACCTGTACTTTCTACTTCTTACATGATGAACACAAATACCTGAACTTTCTACTTCTTACATGTTGAACCCAAATACCTGTACTTTCTACTTCTTACATGTTGAACTCAAATACCTGTACTTTCTACTTCTTACATGTTGAACACAAATACTTGTACTTTCTACTTCTTACATGTTGAACACAAATACCTGTACTTTCTACTTCTCACATGTTGAACACAAATACCTGTACTTTCTACTTCTTACATGTTGAACACAAATACCTGTACTTTCTACTTCTTACATGTTGAACACAAATACCTGTACTTTCTACTTCTTACATGTTGAACACAAATACCTGTACTTTCTACTTCTCACATGTTGAACACAAATACCTGAACTTTCTACTTCTTACATGTTGAACACAAATACCTGTACTTTCTACTTCTTACATGTTGAACACAAATACCTGTACTTTCTACTTCTTACATGTTGAACACAAATACCTGTACTTTCTACTTCTCACATGTTGAACACAAATACCTGAACTTTCTACTTCTTACATGTTGAACACAAATACCTGTACTTTCTACTTCTTACATGTTGAACACAAATACCTGTACTTTCTACTTCTCACATGTTGAACACAAATACCTGAACTTTCTACTTCTTACATGTTGAACACAAATACCTGTACTTTCTACTTCTTACATGTTGAACACAAATACCTGTACTTTCTACTTCTTACATGTTGAACTCAAATACCTGAACTTTCTACGTCTTACATGTTGAACTCAAATACCTGTACTTTCTACTTCTTACATGTTGAACTCAAATACCTGTACTTTCTACTTCTTACATGTTGAACTCAAATACCTGTACTTTCTACTTCTTACATGTTGAACTCAAATACCTGAACTTTCTACTTCTCTCATTTTCCAAACAGCTGGTTCCTTTAGTCTGAATGTGTGTTTGATGCGTGATCATTATTCTTTAGAGTCATTGCGTGCCTATTGATTTGAACACGATCCGTGTATCCATCATTTCCTGGTCTTCTCTAAAGAAGAGGGACCAATGGAAACGTTGTCATGTTGCCGTTGTTCAGCATGGAAACATTCATTAGCTAACAATGACATTATTATTCTATTAATATAAAGGGAGGTCAGGTACTCTTTAAAACAGCTGGTAGTTATGGGTACTTTTTACTGAAGTACATTTCAAAGCCCTCTTTACTTTTACTTGAGTAAAGAAGTTTAGTCAGTACTTTTCCTTTTACCAGAGTATTTTTAAACACGAGTATCTGTACTTCTACTTGAGTAAAGGATGTGTTTGCCATCTCTGAGAAACACTAACCTCTTCCCTCTCTGCAGGTGGAGTCTCCTCTGGCCGTGGACGCGGTGTTGGGAGAGTCTTCGTTCTCCGTCACGGACGATAAGGTGTCCATCACGGAGATGAAAGTCCACGCCATCTCCGGCCTGACTCTGTCTCTGCAGCCGAGTCCTGGAAACAGCCACACCATGGTCGCCAAGGCAACCGGCGTCCAGACGCTCACCGCTCCCAAGCAGGTAACCCATCATTGGTGCAGAAAAACAGAAAGCTATTGATACTGTTAAGATAAGATAAGATGGTACTTTATTGATCCCAATTTGGGACATTGTTGTGTTGCAGCAGCATAAAAAGACATGGCATTGTACAATACAAATTAAAAAGACTAGAAATAAACAAGAAAGTAGAAATATACTGTACATGTTGAATGTTATTTCAAATATATTTTCAAGTGGCTTCATAAAAGTGGTGTAAAGATTGACTGAAATGTGGACGTTTAGACCTTTGGTGTGAGTTGCAGAGCGTGAGAGATATTGATGGATGAAAGGTCTGTCTTCTATTAAAGAGAATGGCTCTTGGTTTGTGGCAAATAAATACATTTGAGCAGCGACATTTCTCACACTCAAGGATCGATGAATACCACTACAAGTGTGGACATCCCAGGATTTCAAAAAACGCTTTAATATTTCCATTATTTTCAAATCCCCACAATAAAAAGGAGACTCAGAAACCGCCTGAAATAATATAAACAGTGCATTCGACTGTGATAAAAACACAAAGGTGTCATGAAATGTTGCAGGGCACACTATAACACATGCTGAATATTTATAAAGGCAATCACTTGCTATCTAACTGAGGTAAATAACACAGACTTCTTTCAAAGCTACAATGTAGACGGATTACACTGGGGCCTCGTCTGCATCTCCCAGACAAACGCATCCTTATTGGGGACTACAGAAAAAGTTACTTAGTAATAATAATAAAGCTTTATTTATACATGTATATCACTTGTCATGCAACACATGCAGCTCAAAGGGCTTTACAAAATGACACATCACAAGTCACTCTCCATGTTGACTGTTGTTCAATCAGGAGAGACGGTTTTGATGTAAGAATACATATTTATTGCAGGGATACACAAATTAATGTAATGGTGATTTTGGTGAATAGGCCCCGTTGTGCAGGAAGTATCATTAGGGGGGGTAGAACCGATCAGATGAAACCCCCCCGGGGTCTAGACACTGGTGGTGGTGAATGGATGGTTGGGTTCGGTCTGAAGGGGAGTGGCTTAGCTTGACCCTGGTGGTGGTGAATGGATAGTTGGGTTCGGTCTGAAGGGGAGGGGCTTAGCTTGACCCTGGTGGTGGTGAATGGATAGTTGGGTTCGGTCTGAAGGGGAGGGGCTTAGCTTGACCCTGGTGGTGGTGAATGGATAATTGGGTTCGGTCTGAAGGGGAGGGGCTTAGCTTGACCCTGGTGGTGGTGAATGGATAATTGGGTTCGGTCTGAAGGGGAGGGGCTTAGCTTGACCCTGGTGGTGGTGAATGGATAGTTGGGTTCGGTCTGAAGGGGAGGGGCTTAGCTTGACCCTGGTGGTGGTGAATGGATAGTTGGGTTCGGTCTGAAGGGGAGGGGCTTAGCTTGACCCTGGTGGTGGTGAATGGATGGTTGGGGTCGGTCTGAAGGGGAGTGGCTTGACCCTGGTGGTGGTGAATGGATAGTTGGGTTCGGTCTGAAGAGGAGGGGCTTAGCTTGACCCTGGTGGTGGTGAATGGATAGTTGGGTTCGGTCTGAAGGGGAGGGGCTTAGCTTGACCCTGGTGGTGGTGAATGGATAATTGGGTTCGGTCTGAAGGGGAGGGGCTTAGCTTGACCCTGGTGGTGGTGAATGGATAATTGGGTTCGGTCTGAAGGGGAGTGGCTTAGCTTGAACCTGGTGGTGGTGAATGGATAGTTGGGTTCGGTCTTAAGGGGAGGGGCTTAGCTTGACCCTGGTGGTGGTGAATGGATAGTTGGGTTCGGTCTGAAGGGGAGGGGCTTAGCTTGACACTGGTGGTGGTGAATGGATGGTTGGGGTCGGTCTGAAGGGGAGTGGCTTAGCTTGACCCTGGTGGTGGTGAATGGATGGTTGGGGTCGGTCTGAAGGGGAGGGGCTTAGCTTGACCCTGGTGGTGGTGAATGGATAATTGGGTTCGGTCTGAAGGGGAGTGGCTTAGCTTGAACCTGGTGGTGGTGAATGGATAGTTGGGTTCGGTCTGAAGGGGAGTGGCTTAGCTTGAACCTGGTGGTGGTGAATGGATAGTTGGGTTCGGTCTTAAAGGGAGGGGCTTAGCTTGACCCTGGTGGTGGTGAATGGATAGTTGGGTTCGGTCTGAAGGGGAGGGGCTTAGCTTGACCCTGGTGGTGGTGAATGGATAGTTGGGTTTGGTCTGAAGGGGAGGGGCTTAGCTTGACCCTGGTGGTGGTGAATGGATGGTTGGGGTCGGTCTGAAGGGGAGTGGCTTAGCTTGACCCTGGTGGTGGTGAATGGATAGTTGGGTCGGTCTGAAGGGGAGGGGCTTAGCTTGACCCTGGTGGTGGTGAATGGATAGTTGGGTTCGGTCTGAAGAGGAGGGGCTTAGCTTGACCCTGGTGGTGGTGAATGGATAGTTGGGTTCGGTCTGAAGGGGAGGGGCTTAGCTTGACCCTGGTGGTGGTGAATGGATAGTTGGGGTCGGTCTGAAGGGGAGGGGCTTAGCTTGACCCTGGTGGTGGTGAATGGATAGTTGGGGTCGGTCTGAAGGGGAGGGGCTTAGCTTGACCCTGGTGGTGGTGAATGGATAGTTGGGTTCGGTCTGAAGAGGAGGGGCTTAGCTTGACCCTGGTGGTGGTGAATGGATAGTTGGGGTCGGTCTGAAGGGGAGGGGCTTAGCTTGACCCTGGTGGTGGTGAATGGATAGTTGGGGTCGGTCTGAAGGGGAGGGGCTTAGCTTGACCCTGGATTCAGAGGGACAGGAGGTGCAAAGGGGGGGAGGAGGGTGGCGTCGAGTCACCTGAAATGACAGCTGTCAGAGGGGAGAGCAGACTTAAAAGGTTTGGCAGAGCGCTATGATAGGCTCTTGGGAATAGAGCGAAGTGATTGGTTAAGCTGGAGAGTGACGCCCCCGATCACTTATTGAGAGGAGAGAGAGTAGTTACATGGGAATAGTAAATGAAGAGTAAAGACGGTCTTCCTGGTTGAACTTACGCTGAGCTTCATTTGTTCTGGCACTTAATATCGTTTTCTGCACATGAGATTGAGCAAAACATGTCAAACCCTTTTGAATCTCATCCGTATCAATATTGTAACTCAACACACTCTCCTACTTAGAGGGTCTAAACGTAATTTGTATTTGTATAGCACACCTTAAAAACAACGTCATCTCAAGGTGCTTCACAATTCGATTATTAAAAGTTATTTAAGAAACATATATTTTTTTTAAAACATACCAAAATTAGGAAGCTGAGTTTTTAAGAAAAGATAAAATATTAAAAAAGAAGATATTTGTATTACTTAAATAGATTACAATTTTTTCAATGAACCGATTACTATCAGTACATGTTGTGCGGCTTCTTCTGCCCTCACATAAACGTTCTTCTTCATGTGTTTCCTTACTTTTGTCTCCCGAGCGTTAAAAGGAAGTGTATTTTTCAAATCCCCTTAGCATTTATATCAACAAGCAGACACTACTTTCACTTCAAAGTATTAAAATAATTTCCCAGCACAATCTTTTAAGCTCCAGCCAGCATGGTTAACAAGGACACCAGATAAAGGCAGCGGCAGTAAACTAATAAGAGTCCTCCGGACTGTTTTATTGCAACTTTCACATTAGCTAAGCTTCTGGTACGTCCAAACACATTTCCTAAAATTGATTTATTGCTCAAGTGAGAAGTGAGAAGACTTCAGGGTGAAAGAAAATAAACTGCTTTTTGTTTGCCACCATCTCTTTGCACAGGAGTACGGATCTATGCAGAGGAATTAATTGGAAGCACTGTTTCACCTAGAGAGAAGTGTGTGTGTGTGTGTGTGTGTGTGTGTGTGTGTGTGTGTGTGTGTGTGTGTGTGTGTGTGTGTGTGTGTGTGTGTGTGTGTGTGTGTGTGTGTGTGTGTGTGTGTGTGTGTGTGTGTGTGTGTGTGCACGCGGGCAGGTGGGCGTGCGTTCGTTCGTGTACTTTTCCCTCTTTGCCCTCTCATTGGCCTGCGAGTAGCTAAAAGTGCAACGACAACCACATCAAGCATCAGTGAGAGAGAAGCGGGCATTAAATTCCAATTTCTCTTGCTTTCCGCTTCTTGGCCACCTTGAAATTTAATTATTGTAATGTATTGTCCTAAGTGCTCTCCAAGGCCGGGCCATAAAAGGCAGCCAATCCCCTGCAGCGAGGCTCTCGGAGCTATTTCAAGCCATTTGATTCTGTTTCACAGGAAAACTTTGTCAATGTCCTCTATAGCTCTAAAAATGATTGAAACATATCAACTATGAAAAGGAATCGTTGGACTATCAAGGTCTCTTTGCATTATTCTATTTCTCCCACTTAACACATTCAGAAATCAAAGACACATAGACTATTTTTGGTGCTACAACTAACCCACTGTTACTGTTGAATTATTATTATTATTCTTTTTTATTATGTATTCTACTATTTCAACAATTAGACAGTTTGTACATCCAAAAAAACAAACTAAATTAGTAGAAGCAGGAGGGCAGAAATAAAAGCTTATACAGCGGTCGCTCTCCCGCTAGTCATCCAGTTGCAGGATAAAGTAAAAAAAGATAATTCTGTTATTAAATATACATACATATGTACACATATACATACATTATATATCAATTTTAACAGGTGTTAAAGAGGCCATATTATGCCATTTGGGGGGTTTCCCTTTCCTGAAGTGTGTTATTTCGATTTTAGTGCATGCAAATGGTCTGCAAAGGCTAAAATCCCTGTGTTACCTCCACATGAAGTTTCTCTCCCACACTTTTTGAACATTAAAGCATAGAGACATATCAGTAGAGGCACTAAATAAATACTAATATGCACCTGAAAATTAGCACAATATGTCCCCTTTAATCAATCTAAATTAATTGTAGAGTTGCTGCATTATTTCCACTGGAGTGTTTTCTGCATATGAATATTTTATAATCCAAGCTGTTTATGTTTCATTTACATCCACATGTATATTCCGTGATACCATAATCAGAGAAAAATGGGAAGTCAATCATAGGAAACTTCCTCATTCAGAATATCACTCTAACTTTATGTAATTTATTTATTCATTTAATCATTTATTTGGCAGGGACAATGTACAGTGATGAACACTTAAAACATTAAAAATGTATCAAGCGTAACAGTGCCAGATTTAGCTTTGAGCTCATTATCCGTCCCTCACATAAAACATTTAAGAAAATTACATTTTACAAACATTGTAAAAACAAAATACATGAAGAGCAAGAGCAGCACACACAAGTAGTTATGACGTGGTAATACAATATAGCAGCTACGACATATAAAGTGCAAGAGGAGATACCCCTGTGTTAAAGTGCATTTAGCGGTGATTACAGGTTTGTTTCTCAACCGTTCTTTGAGTTGACCTCTGAAGCTATTGAGAGTGGGACAATCCCGTGTCTCAGTTGGGAGGCTATTCCACAACGAGCTGCCTTTAACGGAGAGGACATTTTGTCCAAAAGTGGTCCGTCTGCGGTGGACTTCACAGTCTCCTCTGGTTTCGGACCTAGTGCAGCGTCCAGTGTGTTTTCTGTGGATGAAATCCCCTAAGGGAGGGGGGGGGGCAGTCCATGTAAACATTTATAAATAAAGCACATTTAAAAGACTTAAAATGGTCAAAACTTAAGAAATTGTGTTATCAAGGATGGTACAGTGGTGGTATGAATGTGGCTTTCTGTCAAACACCTTGATACAGCTGTTCTATTGGTTTAATTGCACAGATTACATTAATTGTGTGCCAATGGTTTGTCAAGCAAGATGCACAAAATAATATCATCGCAGTCCAGATTTCCCTTTGGGTCTCGTCAGTTCTTTGATGCCTTTTTTCGTTGAAATAGCTTCTTTTTTTAGCAAATAAACAAAATCCACTTTGCCCTCCTGCTTCTTTCATGCATTGGATCGGAATAAAAAACGCGCCAATAGTTTTTTCCGCATATAAACCGCCATTCTTTGCCTTTTTCCCCTCTATCAGCTCTTTCGTTGCGGAGTCAGCTCATAAAAACAGATATGCCATATTCAATGTATTATTGAAGTCATCCATATCAAAGGCGGCCTTCATGCTGTCACGCTGGGCCGATAGAAGCTTGCCTCTCAGTGGGACACCGCCACAACATAGCAGTCCAAACTGGACCACAGGGGTTTTTGGTCCTGGAAAGGCTGGGTGTGTATCTCTAAAAAAAAAAGGGAGCCTAGAAGCTATCCAACTCTGTTTTAGAAAATAAATGCTCCCTGTTTGTCAGCGATGGTTGATGATGTTTGAGCAAGCTGCGAACAAAGGGCTCTTCAGATGCAGCCTACATTTAATGGACACCGCTGTCGAAGCTCACTCTGCGACAGATGCTTGTTAGTTTTGCCAGCATTGTGGACCCGAAATGTTGAGTACCTGAAGGTTGTTTGATAGAAATGTATAATGAGGGTCCTCAGCACATAGAAACTGCTGGATGCTAATGTCCATGTGTTGGCAATTTGCCCAATTTAGGATACACAATTGCAAAGGCCAGTATGTGTACTCTCATTAGGCTGATTTGGACTATTTGAGGAGTGTCGTGACCTTTGGATATAGAGAGCACAAGATCAACATTATCATCCCTACTGTGGACAATTTATTTTCAAATAAATAAGCTTTGTGTCCAATCCAAATGATCCAGAGTCCACTCAATCTTCAAAATCCTCCCAGAATGAATCAAAATCAGCCCACCGAGAGTACGAATCTTTCCACTTTCTGGTTCAAAACTGCAATTGTTGATTCTGAAAAAGTCAGAAATGGATTCAGCATCCTCAATACCCCGAAGAAATCACTCCAAAATGTAACAACTCCGCCAAGCCATTTATTTTACTCTTATCCACATACAGTAATAATAATAATAATAATATATGGGACTTGTATAGCGCTTTTCAGGAAACTCAAAGACGCTTGGACAGAGAATAAAACAAAACAACAACAAAACAAAGAAATACAAAAAGAGATAAACAAAACAGAAAATAGGGGGGGGGGTCAGTGGCTGAATGCTGTGTTGAACAGGTGGGTTTTGAGTGATGTTTTGAATGCTGTGAGGGAGGAAGAATCTCTGATGGATTGGGGTAGTGAGTTCCAGAGGGTGGGTGCAGCAACGGAGAAGGCCCTTAAGCTATAATGCTAATATCACGCAATGTATGCTAATTGTTCAAATTGCCCAACCTATGCAAGTAAGCATCCGGCAGTTTCTATGTGCTGGGGACCCCTACTATACGACTCTATCATAAAACGTTGGGGTTCTTAACATTTCCGGGTTCACAATGCAACTCTATGAGCTGACAAATAGATGATGTTACCATCACCACGAACTCATTTTATACAGTTTCTCCGTTGGGGAGCTCAGAAAGTGATAGAAAATACTAAACGAGAACATCACACACAACAAACACAGAGAGACTGGACACATGCTCATCATTGGAAGCACGTGCAACTGTACGTGGGTTTTCTGTGTGTGTGTTATCAGTGTGTGCTGCAGTGTTGTAGCCCCTTCTTCCTCCTCCTCCTCCTCCTCCTCCTCCTCCTCCTCCTCCTCCTCCTCCTCCTCAGTGCTTGAAAGTGGTGTGCAGATCAGAGGAAGGCCGTATGTGTGCGTGTGAAAGCTTGTTGCACAGGGCACTGCGGATGTTCACAAACACTCTGGAGATTTGGGGGATTGGAGCAAATCCAGAACTTCAAAGGCTCATTTGGGAACAGATATTCAAATCACGGGCCATGAAGAATGGATCCGAACCATTCGAATATTCTTATGTTGGTTATAAACACAGGGCAGAGTCTTTTGAATTAGTCTGCTGAACTTTATTAACACTTTTTGTTAATTTGCGGATATTATCAAGGACCCGGGAGAAATTGCATTGCTATATATCACCTTTTTTACATTTCCTTTACTCTATCACTTTCCTGCCCAACACTTAGCTCCACTTGATAAGGTAGACATGTCTATGAACCCCTTGAAGCCTAAGGATAACCCTGATAGACTTCTGAAATTCAGTAGTTAGATTAAAGAAGATTGAAGACTTGTTGAACTTGTTTATCCTAATGTGTATAATTGGATTTGATATTACTTAGAAAGTAGTAAGGAAGCAATTCAGGCTCCACAAAGTAATTAACCATTGTTATTTTTACATGTTTTAATATTATGTCGCACAATTAAATTGCACCAGTAGTTAAGAATTGTCAATCAAAATGTATTGCTTTTCAATGTATTCTCAACCTCATTTCAAAATGAGCCTTGAAGAAATATATGGAGCTGTTGTTATCATTGCAAAGTCCTTTCCGCCAATGAATTAAGGATGCCAGTGATTATTCGATTATTCGATTATTCGTTACAGTCTCCATAATCGAATATTATTTTTAAAAATCGATTTTATTTATATATATTTGTATTATTATTTATGTATTTATTTATTTTTCTGGCTTAGTTTCAACCAAAATATCGACTAATGCTAATAATAGTAATAGTATTAATAATTGTAAATGGCCATTGGTCACACCACCAGTTTGTTTTACTGTAAACTTGGAGGAAGCCTGCGTGCAGAGCAGACTTCTGCTGCAGCACGCTCCACACCGCCCCCGCCCCCACCCCCCCTCTCCCTCACACGTGCGACTAAAGATGAACAAAGCGGCAGGTAAAAAGAGTTCCTCCTCGTGGAACTACTTCGAACTTACAAGTCCAAAGGAAGTTAAATGCAAGCTCTGCGAAAAGACGTTGGTCTATCACAGCTCAACCTCAACAATGCGTTCACATTTGAGTGCGAAGCACGCCAAAGAGGTTACAGAGAAAGACGCAGACGGTCGAATAATCGATTATTATTCGCCAGGGTAGCCGAATAATCGATTTTGATCATGGTCAGTTTCTGGCAACCCTACAATGAATCCTACAGTATTCTGTTCTCCGCCTATCAAAATGTGGGATTTCTTCACCCTCTAATTAGATGCGTAGATATTGGTTGTCCACACAAAGAGTTTTTCTTCTGGAAATTAGTTTTTTTAATTTGTGAAACTTTTTCTCATGAGCTCAGAGTAAGAACATATCAAGTGCATTCCCCGGAGGATATTCAGTTCCTTGCTTATTAAGATTTGATCAAGTTGTGATTGGATATTAATGATCTGAGAACAGACAATCATGATTATTTCTGTTGTGATACCAGTAAATATTCAAATACCTTGTAGTGTGATTTGAAAGTTAATGCATTTTGTAATGTTGTTTGTTCTTTTTTATATTGGTTTTGAAGAAAACTAGATTTGAAGTGTAAGAAACAACTAAACTAAACTGTGTTTTCTTCTTCTTTTCGTCTGACAGGAGGCCAGTTTGTCCATCTGGATGCTTTTCAGTGACAACACAGCCGCCACTCTGACTAACTTTGATCCCAAAGACTACAACTTCAACGCCTCCTCGCTGGATGACAGGGTAGTGATGGTTTCCCAGGAGCCTCAGCAGCGCTGGCCTGTGGTCGTGGCAGAAGGGGAGGGATCCGGAGAGCTGGTGCGTTTAGAGATGACCATCTGTGAGGCCTGTCAGAAGACCAAGCGCAAGAGCGTCATCGCATCTGCTTCGGTTTATGTGAAGGTCCGCTTCGGCCCAGAGGAGGATTCTGAGGAGGAGGGGACCACCGAGGGGGAGATAGAGCTGGCCCCCTTCACCAGGCGGCCAATCATTGATCCCAACATCAGTGGAAGAATTTATGAGACATCTAATGAGCAGCCTGCCAGTGTTCCCATCGATTACACCAATTTCCCCACCATTAGCAACCAAGAGCGACCAACAGAGAGCGATGAAGAAGAAGAAGAAGAAGAAGAGGAAGACGACTTTGTGCACTCACCTCGCAACATGACTGACCTTGAGATCGGCATGTACGCTCTGCTGGGAGTCTTCTGTCTGGCCATCTTGGTGTTTCTCATCAACTGCATCGTCTTCGTGCTGAAGTACCGCCATAAGCGTATTCCTCCAGAGGGTCAGGCCAACATGGACCACTCCCACCACTGGGTGTTCCTGGGAAACGGCCAGCCGCTGAGGGCCCAGTGTGAGCTGTCTCCTCAGCAGATAGAGAGTCCCAGTAATCCTCTGGAGAGCGTACAGACTTGCTGCCACGGAGACCACCACAGCAGCGGCAGCTCCCAGACCAGCGTTCAGAGCCAGATTCACGGGCGGGGAGACGGCAGCTCCGGAGGATCCACGAAGGAGAACGGAGGAGAGGAGGCCAGTTCCCCCACCTCCAAGCGCAAGAGAGTCAAGTTCACCACCTTCACCACGCTTCCCACTGAGGAGCTGCCCTACAACTCCATCCCCATAGCAGACGAAGAGGACATTCAGTGGGTGTGCCAGGATATGGGCTTTCAAGACCCAGAAGAACTGCACGATTACATGCGCAGAATAAAGGAAATAGCCTGAGGTCATGAGGTGCAGCGTGAAGCCCGGCTCTCAGCTTTCTAAAGAAACTTTCCTTTCTATTTTTCTCTTTTTCACCTCAGTGAAACATCATTTTTCACAGACTAAAAGGCCAACTGTTGTTTCGGTTAGGGTGTGTTCCATTTAGTTTGCACAGTGCTGCTCATACACGCTCACACAGAGGAGGATGCGAGGAAGCCAAAGACTTGAGCAGATCTCAATCACTAGAGAAGCCTGTACATCTCGGCTGTGTTTCACTGGGAAGCTGAGCCATGACCAGACAGCTCTTTTTATTTCCAGGATTGTATTCTAGCAGCCTGACAAGGACAGGAATAGTAGAAGTTGTTTGGTATCGGTGTTTTTGCTCAGTGGGACTCTGCAGTACTGTACCTACTCCAAACGAAAATGCCTTTGATGAACAAAATAACTGTCAAAGACTCTCATGAAAGCTATGTTTTAAAAAATAATCTTTTTGTTTTTGCCAAAGTAGGACAAGCGTTCTTTTAATGGCAAAACCTTCTTCATTTGTTGTTCTTGGTGCAGCACACTCGTGATTTGTACTCATGTTCATTCATTACATTTTTCTACATTTCATAGGTAGTCAGAAGCAGTGCCCTATTACCAATCCTCTTGGTCCTGAACAAATCTAATGCCTTATAAAAATGGTCACAGTTCACTTCTTATATCAGCGCGTTCACCCAGTTTCCTCACCACGGCTAGAGACGGCGTAGTAAGATGTAAAATACTACAAATGATCTCGAGCATGAGGTAGAATTAGAGAAAAGCTCGTTTATTGTGAGGGTCTCTAACTTTCTTTGCATGGAAAGGGATCTCGAGGCACAATCAGCAACTATTTCCAAATTTGTAAATGTTTGTATTGTAATTATATAATCATTCATACACAAGTAAATATGTTATAATACATTACACGCATGCCGTGTCAGGCCTACATACATGCAGACATTCCTCTCTATGTATATACCGCATCGAGCACGAACGTTCAACAAGTTCCTTACTCAGAGCTGGAAGCCGGTTGAAACCTTGCCAACTGTAGTCTTGTTGTGAGTAGAAGGTTCCCCTTGGTGACGTCCTGACAGAACCGTAGCTTTTTAACAAAGTGGTATCACATTCGACTGTTGAACATGGGGATGCATCAGAATTGTAACAGATCTAATATTTTGATGATTTATTTTTTCTCTCCTCAAATTCTACCCTCTAGCCTTCTGGGAAAATAACAAACGTACTAGTTGGAAACAGTCGCACTGAACACAAGAGCCTCTAAACTCTCCAGGAAATGTCATTCACCCGAAAAAGAAAGACAGCTGAATAATTTCTAGATTTGTCTCCATCGTTTGAACCATGGCCATCTCATGTTGTCATTTTTGAAAACACACTCTACTATGTAAGTAGTTCTTATTTTGTTGAATCTATTCCAGTGAACACATGTATCGAGGTCACACATTTGCTTTGACTGAACTCAATGGGCAGGGTGAGAGAAGGACAGAAATCAGGAGTTGTGTGGTTGTGACGACGTGTAAACGTTTCTCAGGATTGGCTTCATTGACGAATCAACGTGATTTAAACAGCACAGCTAGTGGATGTCATTTGCAGGTCTTGTTGTGCAGAAAGTGCTAATTGCGATATTTAAAGGTTTACTGACACGGGTTTGAAAGTACACTCAAGCAGAAAAAGGGAAAAGAGCTGGCAGATTTAGAAAGAACACATCTTCAGTGAGTTTTCAATCAAAACCTTGCAAAGGCAGCCGGCGAGTGAGAGCATGGAGACAGCAGAGCTAATAGTATTTAGTTGCCCTGTTAGTGTAGCTGCTTTTTAGTCGTAGTGTGGATCATTGGAGATGACGTCTGAAGGTTGATGTTAGTCAAGCTCTGATCTCACATAAAACATGTTATTTTCAGGACTAATGAAGCAGCCATGTGATAAAAAATGTGTTTCTGTGTCACTTTCCTTTCATTCCGTTCTGTACCTAAGGGCTTGGATTCTTCTTTTATGTCATTTGACTTATTTTGGTGATCCTATGAGAAAACGTTACTTGCTCCCCTATGTGGTGATAATGAGCCTTAGCTCTACGGTACCATATATGTCAATCAAATCTGTCACGGTTTTATTGCAGATCCTCGCTGCTCTTCAGCCCCCACAGCCTTATTAAAGACCCAATCCAGAATTGTTCTATTTGTGGCAGCACTGTTTTACTGAAACATGGGAAGAAATCATTCAATCCAAACTCATATTTCATATTTAAGATGTGTTTCCTGAGCTCCTTATTCATTGGCTGGTGACCAGTAGTGCTTAATGTGATCTGAAAGATGTAATTGGTTTGCTTACAGCAAGATTGTAAATACTGGAGCAAAACAGGCTTTACTTTTCACTCATCTGAAAGTTCCAATGAGATTATTTTCAATCAGCAAACTATTCAATATTTGACATGTACTGTATATAGATCCACATGTGATCCTGGATTGGGACTTTAAGTATTTGGTTTACTGCATGCCCTCTCTACTTTCCATGTGGTTGAAATGAATGATGACCTGATTCTTGTTTGATTATATACAATCTGTGTAAAAAACATGATATTTTGACAGTCCAAGCCCTGCCTTCGCCCTCAGCATCAACACGATTTGCCATGAAATGAAGAGAAGCAGCAGCCAGCCCAAAGTGTTTCCCTCCTAACCCTAAATGATGGATTCTCAGGATGAATGTAGGATTATTAGCTAAACCTGGCTGTGTTAATGTGGTCAACCCAATTTGGTGACAGCACTATGACAGATTAAGTATCTAATAGCAGCTTTACACTCTGTTTCCATTGGGTTTTCCCATTATAATACGTCTCACATTGATTCTTAAATCCTACTTCCCCCGTCCCTTTCCATTTTAAGTCTTTTTGTAATGCTGCTTTGGTGGTGGTGCACATGTTGCTCATTTTGTATTTTCTTCAAGCTGCTAATAGAAACTTAGTCTTTTTACAACATGTTATTGAACATCTTGACTTATACCTTCCCCCCCCCCCCCCCCCCCCATGGAAACTGTGCACGATGTGCACGGCTCAGTCTGTGCCAAGTAACCACTACACTCACAATAATATGTTATTGTACAGAGCACTGTTGAATTTCCTGTATTCTCTTGAAAATAAACCCTTGTATTTTTCCCGTTATATGTAAAGTACTAAAGAAAATGCAATACATACATGACATGGTGTATTTCTTTATTTGACCTGCGAGTGTTGAAGAAAATGTTTCAGCCATTTTCTTAAGCTTTAAATGTGTTTCTACTGTGTCAGCCATTTATTTAGCAATTCTGTCTCAGTAGCTTTATATAAGAATGACTTTATATCTCACATTATGATTGGTATTATAATTGCAAACATGTCTGATTCATACCGTATGTTATGACATTTTGCAAATAGATTTAAACTGCAATCAAGGGTGACTATTTTAACTTTCACTCGTCAATATTTTAACAAACAAAACCTATTTAACATGAGTCACTTACAAATTCATGGACTCAGAACTCCAAAAAAAAGAGGAGATAGATTTCATAAGAATGTTTATTTGTGTTTATTTTTTCCATTCTGCAGCTCACTGCCAACACCTGCAGCAGCATGAAGACCCTGCTGAGAGGAGAGTGTAGAAACCTACTGTCCTCTGCTTCACAAATACATACTTGGAGCTGTGTTTTTGAAGTTTGTAGTGTTTACTCCTGTTCACTTCATTTGGGCAGCGGAGATCAAAGCCTTCTGATCTCAGGTAAAGCACTCGGGTCATTAGGAGAGAGTTATAGTGGGTTTCTGGGGCCGAGCAGACAGATGCGTACATCGGAAAGCCGCTGGAAAATAAGTTTGTTGTGCTGCAGTTTGAACAGATCGTCACACTCGGAGGTATTTCTGCAAACCAATTATCTAATTGCAAAAATCACAAATATGGATTCTTAGCAAAATAATATCAGCTGCTTTTTTATGGACCAGTATCCAGTACACAGAACTTCACACAGAACTGGTAGATGTTCAGTAAAAACTCAAAACTTTAACACAATAGAGGTAAGTACACAAACATGTTAAAGATGAAGTTTATGTGTGAATTGTATATATAAAGGGGGTAACACAAGAATGTATTCCTTTAAATATTTGCATCTGAATAAGCAAAAAAACACGTATTCAGTCTTTATGAAGGCTCACATTTCACATAAAATTCATTTCAGATAGTACAGTATGAGCCCTGACTTACATTTCATAATCTTTAAAGGTGGGGTAGGTAAGTTTGAGAAACTGGCCCGAGATACACTTTTTGGTATTTTCCATGGAATGCTCTTAAAGGTGGGGTAGGTACGTTTCAGAAACCGGCTCGAGATACACTTTTTGTTATATTCCATGGAATGCTCTTAACATCCCGATAGCAATGAATATCTTAAGTGCTTTGACAAAAAATCCATTAAAAAATGTCATCTGTGGAAGCCGTTATACTGTAAAATGTACAACCACGGCTAAACGGATTGGATTGCCGCCCTGTCTGTCAGCCTTCCATCTCGTGCACGCACAAATGTATCTCGTGCCCTCATTGGGCGTGCATTGCAGGAGTACTTCAATGACTCGCCAGCAACAGACGGCCACTTTCACCAGTCTGCTGACGTCATGTGCGCGTTCATGTGTGTTGGAGGAGGTGCTCTGTAAGGAAGTCTGAAGGAAGGGGCGGATTCTTTTCGGCTGTGTACTTTCAAATTTTAGTGCACTCGAGCCGGTTTCTGAAACTTACCTACCCCACCTTTAACATCCCGATAGCAATGAATATCTTAAGTGCTTTGACAAAAAATGCATTAAAGAAATGCAGTGGCGAGCCGTGACTTTTATACCTAGGCCCTCTGACCCCCCCTTCCCTCGAAACAAAAGAAGAGTTATTACGTCACAGTATACATATATATATATACAGTCTATGGTCACAGCGTATACTTCAGCGGAATATCAAAACAGCGGCCCGGGGTGCAAAACGCATCAATGACAGCGACCCTCTACCACACAAAACAACACCATTTATATAAACACCTATCATGACAGGGCACCCACAGCCAAGTAACAATTACAAATGAATTAAGTCGGCACGGCGGCCCACATTGAAAATGAATTAGGCCTACCTTTGATGATCAAATCACTTAAACACAAAGTCCATCCTCCTGTCCTTTTGGATGAAGCACTTGATGGCGGGGTCATGCAGCTGATCCTTTGCCACTGCAGTTTATCATTGTAACTCAATCTTGAAAATGACTCGGTTAATAATTTCGCAACCATCACTATCACTGAAGTGAGCCATCATGAACGAACTTATGCTAATTATAAATCTATCGATCATAAATCTATCGTTTAGATTTATGATTCGAAAATAATAAAAGTAGGGTAGACATGTGGATATTACCCGGCTGAACAAAACGTGCATTTATCTAACAGGTTCGTTTTCCACAGACCTTATTTCGAGCTATTTTCCAAAATCCTATGGAGAAATCACATTGCTTTCTGTCGAGGGAATCCGGGCGAAGCTTACCTCCGGGTTTTAGGACGCGTCACTGCACCACTTGCATAGACCTCACAGCGGGCGGAACTTGTCATAAAGTCCGCGAAAATAAAGCCCGCCCATTTAGAGGGAAGATATGATTGGTCAATTGTACTGTCATTTGACATTACTCTCTCATTGAGTTACTGTAGCGGGCCCTCTGTGAATGTAGAGAGGGACCAACAAGCTCTCCGGTCTTCACATAACTCGCAGAGACGGCATTTAACCCTTCACATTCCAACAGAAACTGAACAGGCAGATTCGAAGGATTTATTTCTTTGGAAATATTATTTTAAATACAATTAAATCAAGTTATTTTGGTAAAATTAATGAAAAATGTAACAACAACAAAATATAAAAAATTATATTTAAAAAAAAATGTTTTTTTTTAATGTTTTCAAATATAATTTTGTTGAATATCTTAGGCCCTCACAGAGGGCCTAGATGGCCCTGACGGCTCGCCACTGAAGAAATGTCATCTGTGGAAGCCGTAAAAAGCCTGTAAAAAGCACGACCAATCATTTTAGCGGCCCGGCTAAAGTAACTGGATGGCCTACCTGCCTACCTGTCAGCCTTCCATCTGGGCACAAACTTATCTCGTGCCCTCATTGGTCATGTGCGCGTTCGTGTGTATTGGAGGAGGGGCTCTGTAAGGAAGTGGCAGATATTTTCCGGTTGCTTATTTTCAAATTCGAGCTGGTTTCTCCAAAATTACCTACCCCACCTTTAAAGCAAAGTAATGTACCTCTTTAAACTTAAAATAACATCTTCAAACCTTCAAACTCAACCTGATGCTACACTGTCAGAGCAAGACTTTACACCAGGGGTCTCCACTCCAACACGTCGATCGTAGCTCACGGGCAGCTTTTCAGTAGCTCGCCGCTCGATTATCGATTATCGATTATAGCTCATAACGTTGCTTCTTGATTTTTCGGCCGCGGCTGGACAATAAACTAACGTTTTTTTGTTTTTGAATGTCTTCTGTAACACGAATATCAAATTGGTCAGTGACGCAGAGATCAAGGAACAGAAGTGACAGCGGCACGCGACACCACACACGGAGCAGTCGGCAGTCCACCAACACCAGCAACACCAGTCCAGAACCAACAGCAGAATGACCCGCTCTGAGTCTGAATCAGTCCGTGTCGCTGCGGATCAGAGACACACTCGTTATCATCATGTCAGGTTTTTGGTGGATTTAATCAAGTCTTGGATTGCAGAGTATGAATGTCCTCTTGCTATTTTCAGTTGATAAATACCATAGACTGTAGACTTATTTTACACATGTGCCATAAGATGCTTGTCAGGTAGTGATTAAGGACATTTATGTGAATTTTCAGTGATGTACTTACTATATGGGCCACAGTGGCGAGCCGTGACTTTTATACCTAGGCCCTCTGACCCCCCCTTCCCTCGAAAAAAAAGAAAAGTTATTACGTCACACCGTATATATAGACATGTTTATTGATTGGGATAAACCCCTTGAGATGCACCATCTCGTTTTCAAGGGGGTCCCGACAATAGCAACAACTTACAGACATACATAAAGACAAAATGCAAAACATGGCACACAAGACAAACCACGTACAGTCTGTTAAGTGAAATTCAAGTAATACATATAATCATTACAATTTGAGACAGTCGAGCAAATCAGTTTCATCAATATCAGTTATAACAAGTGCAGACCAGTTGAAAGTGAGATGATAATGCATGTTTAAACATACCCAATGATGCAAGAGATCTAATAGCAGCAGGTAAAGTATTCCAGTCAGTTGGGGCTTTGAACATGAACGCTCTTCTGCCAATCAATTTTTTTGCAGAGGGGACAGAGAAATACTTCAGCGGAATATCACAACAGCGGCTCGGGGTGCAAAACGCATCAATGACAGCGACCCTCTACCACACAAAACAACACCATTTATATAAACACCTATCATGACAGGGCACCCACAGCCAAGTAACAATTACAAATGAATTAAGTCGGCACGGCGGCCCACATTGAAAATGACTCTACGGCCCGTCCACACAGCGGTGTGCGTTGACGCTTGCCGGCGGGCGTGTCTGACACTCGACCAACAACCAATCACATGAATCTCCCGCCCCAGACACACAAGCACGCGGTTTGATTGGCTAGAGCTTGTACTGGCATATGATTGGATTCCGTCGAGGCGTCAAAAGTTGAACATTGCTCAACTTTTGAAGCGAGCAACGCCAGCAACGCTCCACGTCGCTTCCCAAAATGCAGTTCGGCTAAAAGTGACGTCACCCCATTCAAAGTGAATGGGCAGAAGCGTTGGAAGCTTCAACGCACGCCACAGTGTGGACGGGCCGTTAGATTATCAAATCACTTAAACACAAAGTCCATCCTCCTGTCCTTTTGGATGAAGCACTTGATGGCGGGTCATGCAGCTGATCCTTTACCACTCCAGTTTATCATTGTAACTCAATCTTGAAAATGACTCGGTTAATAATTTTGCAAACGATGTCATCACTATCACTGAAGTGAGCCATCATGAACGAACTTATGCTAATCATAAATCTATCGATTAGATTTATGATTCGAAAATAATAAAAGTAGGGTAGACATGTGGATATTATCCGGCTGAACAAAACGTGCATTTATCTAACAGGTTCGTTTTCCACAGACCTTATTT